GGCCCGCCAGTCGGCTTTCGGACTTGAGCCGGTGCGTATGGTGTTTTGTTTACCGCGGATTACGATCCGTCGTATCTACGTGTACGTAGTCTACGTAACCTCGTGTACGTCAAATATCGTTTTTCCATCGTACTTGTAACATATCGGTGAAGTGAAAGTGAAACGAGATATATCGACTGGAAGCTTTTTGAAAAGCAAAATCATATTCGTATTACACGCTTACGACCTCTACGCTGTATAGTAGTTACACTATCAGTTGTTGGTTCGCGCGATCGACTGCGTGGTGTAAAACGTCAAGAGGTCTGCGTGTTACATGATTGCGGGGCCGCGTATCGAACGTGACACGCGAAAAGACACGCTGCGCCAAGTACAACGTTCCTTTTTACGTCGTACGATACATTGGCCAGACAGGCAGCAGTCGCCTCGTGAAACCATATGCTCTTGTGGTGCTAGGTACCCGGGTACTGCACCTAGTGGAAACTTCCATGTATCGATGAAGGGGAACACTGTGACGTGCCTTGGAAGCGCAGTAAATATTTAAAAATAAATACCAACGCGAAGCCCCGTGTGCCCTGTATACACGGGCGAGGCTCGCGAGTGTCACGGTGTGTGAGTGTGTGTAGTGTGTCTATCGAAAACATTGGAGCAGCGGAACACGTGGCAGCAGTGGTCACGGCTAATCAATTTATCCACTTTTCCACACGGTGTCTCTTCCCGAGTCAACGTTACGTTCGAGCAGATCGCGCAGATATTCGCGAAGGTGGCCAAGGCCGAGGCCTGCTCTCCGTACAAGGTACGCGACTTAAAGTGTGTCAGTAGGATAACGACGGCCGATCCGTTTCGTTCGGCCTGACACTTTTGCCTGACTCGACTCTTAGGAATTGGAACACGACTGCATAACTAGAGAAAGGGATTGCGCCATGGTCGGTCGGAACTTTTTCGAATACACGGTAGTTAACCGCGTTAACTGGCCGGAATTTTTTTTTTATCTTGCTTCGCTTCACGTTGTAACCTATGGTTCACCGATGACCCGTATCAAAATATTTCGTATAATGTATTGCATGGATCGTTGGTGACCCGTGAGGTACTTGATCATAACGTCAATCGGTGTGTTAATTATTATTTATATCGTAATACTTTGTATACTATATAACGCGTGAATATAATGCGAATACCGAATCGCAAAGTACTTCCTCGTATCGTCTGTCAGTATATTAATCGTGGTGTATTGCTATATTTTATACGTTAGGGCTTTTTCTTTAAAATGATAATCTTTTCGATTTTGTAATCGATTTTGTAATATCATGGAATACAGATTATTTGATAAACGTCACGAATATGCTGCGTGGGTTATGTGGCCCACGCTGGAACTTTCGTTCAAGCCATTTGATATTTCGTCCATAAAAAGAAACAGTATCGCGAAATATTTCCTGGATCCTCTTGCACGATAATTTACCACTTAATAGTATTAGTAAGTCGACAAATTGCAGGTTGCAGACTATGAACTTTCCCTCTATAAGATGTTGTCATTTTTCATCGAATAGAATAATCGAATAATTTATAGTATGCAAAGTTTATTTGGAAAAGATTTGTATTTTTTATCATCAAATTCGTTACTGCTGTTAATAATACGTAACTTGAGATTTATATTGCGATATTTTATATAACGGGTCCTTTTCTTTATAATAATAATTTTTGCAACTATTACGAAACATAGTTTATTTATGTCACGTTTAGATAACAACTTAGAAAATTGATATAGCACCGAATCTATCGACTGTCCATCGCTATCTCCACAAATTCTTAGAACTGATTTCTTGCGGCAAACCTTTCGTGTTACGTATCTATTTAAAATAAGCAAATGTTTAAGTATCCGTATATCACTCATGTTTAGTGGCTGTTCAGAAGTCGACAACTGGCTATTGGACGAGACCATTGGTCGATTATCGATATCTCTAGGAAACCCCGAATATCTCTTTGACTCTTTAAGATATCGATACTATACTCGTTTGTTTATTTCGCATCAAGATAGTATTTTCATCGTAATTTACGACGGCATTTATATTAAAATACTGCTACAAACCAAGTATGCTTAAATAAGGTTAGGATTTCTAAATGGACCTCCGAGGTGCTATAAAATATAGTATTAACGCTCAGAAATACAAAGAGGAAGTTTCATTATAGCACGTGGTAACGATCCTTTTGTTCTCGGACTCGTTCGTATCGTTGTTTTTCAATTCGTTTACCGTTACAATGAATTTTCCTGAGATATTATCCGATCTCCTTAAAGAATCAAAATTGTTATTAAATCTGAATTTTTTTAGAATCATAGTTACTTTTCGCTACCAGTGCATGTCTTTATCCGTTAATGAACAAATTTCAATACAACATCGCGTTTCTCTCGATAACTACTTCGATAATATCTCGATTCGTAGCCACGTGGCGAAATTACTTTAGTATACGATTTTCGCGCCTCGTTGCGAAGAAACGCTACTTTTGGTCGGATTTGACATGCCTTGCCCCCTCCCTTTGCTCATTGGCGAATCGTGTTGCGTCATCGGGAGAGCGAGGGGAGGTTATGGCGATGACGATGACAGTAGGAAGAGAAAAAAAAAATGAAAGAAGAGAAGAAGTTGTACCGAGTGGCGAAAATTGAGTCGACGTACACCGGTTTTCAGCGGATACGACGGTACATCCGAGCGCGTAAGCAGGTTAGTTACCGATTGTTTGGCCGTGGTATCCGACTACGCGAATAATACGGTTACGGTTAACCCAATACTCGCGTGATACACTGTTCAATCGAGCAATGGCAGTTATATTAATACGTTGTTACAGGGTGTCTGGTTCGAACAGGGAACACGTGATACGTGTATCGGGGTCACTGGTTCGGGTTAGGTTTAAACTTTGCGTGTAATTAGCGCACGCTGTGTATAGTACTTCATAATGATCACCGATAGGAAGCTTGTTTTTGACGCTCGCTCTGACCAGTAGTTTTCAACGTTTGCTAAGAAATATCGCTATGTACAAATGGTTCGCGTATGTATTTGAACATTTCTAGAAATGCTTTACGAGTACAGTTATGTAAGTTATACGAAATATCTTGAAGTTTCATTAGCGTTGGTAACGAGACGCGATTACTTGCCGCCGTTCTATCGGTAAGATTTCCAACGAATCTGAGAATTTATACAGGGTGGGTGGTAGCTGGTGGTACAAGCGGAAAGGGGGTGATTCTACGCGAAAAAAGAAGTCGAAAATATAGAATAAAAGTTTTTTTGTTAATTTTTTTTTTTAATTTTTCCATCGGAACAACGATCTACAGTGAGATCCGTTATAACGAGACGCGATGAAAAGTGCACGCGTGCCGAGCGAAAATTCAAAGTCGATTTTCTCGAAAACAAAGCCTCGAACGAAAAATTTTTATTCCGTATTTTCGACTTCTTTTTTCGCATAGAATCACCCCCTTTCCCCTTGTACCACCAGTTACCAACCACTCTGTATAGACGTAACAAGGCATTTATTGTAAATATAAATCTGGGTAAAAGAAAGTTTCGCATAAAGTAACGTGTTCGTAAAAATTTTTCGTTGGAAGTGTAGGTGTTTCGTAAATAAATATTGTATCTTTTTTATATCTTTCGTTAATGTTTTCTTGACAATTCTGTTTGTTCAAGCGTATTTATTTGATGTTTAGTAGGAGACCACCATTTGATCAATGATATCTTTATTGCGTCAATTTTTTTATTAGATGATTATATAAAATTGTATGGCATAACCTATATATATATATACACACACGCACACATACAGATTCACCCCCCCCCCGCACAAAAATGCTTTGCCCAGTCGCGTCAGTAGATGTAAACACAATTGGCCACGTGTAACTTCAGCTATTAGTTAGTAGTGAATTACTATGCTCACGGATGGCTTTCTATCATTATGTAGAAAATATTTAACACGTTCACGCCGGCGTTGCCATGTGTGTTTCTCGCCGCAGGGGCCACGCTCGTATTCATGTTTATAATAACTTTATAATATCGAATTTGTATGCTTTTGCTATCGAATTTTTGTTTTCTAAGTTATGTTTATAACATCGAGATGAAACAAGATAAATCCTACTTTTTTGTTTTTAATTAATATACGTTAAATTTCCATTACTTAAATTTTCAACTGTTTTGGCAGTTTTTCCTAGTTACCAAACGAACGTTACGTTTTTGGTGGTACGCGCTGTCTGATGGGACGTCGAAGCGTGAGTCACCGGTGGTACGCGCCGGCGTGAACGTGTCAATCTGACCTGATAAACCTAATACCTGTTTTGCAATATCTTAGCATTGGGAATGGACTTTGTCTTCCCTAGCCGTTTTGCCCAGGTATGTTTACTTATTTTTCGCGATTCGAGCCTGTTGCACAGAGTATGATATCACGCGTAGCAAGCCTTGTTCTTAATAAACAGTATATACTAAATATACTGAAACTTTGCCTCAAAATGTTTGAGATAAACGATTGTTATTACCTGGATAATAATTTCTATTTAAGAAATTTCATTCGAGAGAGAAAACTCGGAAAGATTAAATCACGTTTAACTAGCGTGTCAAGGTAGAGCAAAAGATAGAGTGACACGTGAATTTCGAGGAATATGTATTTTGCGGTGTGACGTAACCGGCGTCGATGATAAGTGAGATACGACATTTCTTTCTAGTCATTATTTTATGATAGTTTCACGTTTGAGAATCGATGTTACAATCCTGAGCTTTTATTACGCTATCTCGAAAAGTATCGTTAAAAATCGTAGAATAACATCGACGATTCGATTGTGAATTTTTATTAATTTATGAGAAATCTAGAGATATACACGTACGATGCAAATACCTTTACTTACTTTACCGTCGCGAATGTAGCCAATATTTATCAGCACGAATGTGGGCGCTACAAGAGGCTATGAGTAATGGCAATAGGATGGTCGAGATGATGGAGACAACGAATTCAGGTTCGATAACGAATCCACGATCCGCGGGAGGACAAGTATCGACGTACTACTCGATTCGGATAACTCAATCGACAATTTGTCCAACGACTCTAACACTCTAACTCTCTTAACCCAAAAGAGGCTTATATACTCCTGTTTCCGCTTCTCGGGTTAATCTTTGCTTTTAAGGAGAGCCATATAATCATTTCATACCTCTGTCAGGTACATGCCCCTCGCGTGACCGTGGCTACGTCTAGTGACCCGCTATGTCACTTCGAGCCCAAACGAGCCCATCGTCGTAAAGTCAGATTGGAACATTAAGACTATTTCTTATTTCTATTGCTTAAGGGCGGCTATAGTAAAAGTCTGGACTAGTGTGTTGGGGGTTTTCCCAACATTACGGACGGGAAATCCCGCTGTCTTTTCATCTCCGACATATATTTCGTTCTATAAAATTTTGTTAACGCAATAACGATATTGAAAGATACGGTATACGATGAAATAGAATGCTCGCAACTTGAACATTTTTACAAGAAGAAACTGAATAGTAGTGAAATTAGAGTTTTCACAATTAGTGATTGGAAAAATTTAATTCCAACTCTTATATCGTACTAAACTTTCTTGAATCCATTAGTGTAATAAGTAGTTCACTACACGTATGAAATACGGTTTAATAAGACAATGAAACAGCTACGAACGAAATTATGATTAACAGACAGTGTTATTAGGTTCTCGATGGTAGATTGAATCGTGATTTTACACGGTTAAGCAATGTATCCAGCGAGAAATTTCATTTTAATTGTAGCAATGTAATAGCTGTTAATAAAACGGTAATTTAAGTAAATTACGCGGAATCATTATCAGGAAATGTGAACGATGTTTCGAAGTAGAGTCTGTCATTCTGCTTGTCTCGTTAAATCCGGCTTTTGATAGATGAACACTAGAGTTTTCATATCGCAGGAAACTGCAGAAGTCTTACATACTGTGATAGCACTAATGATCATTAGCATCAATCATTGGAATAAAAAGTTAAAATGTTATTTGTTAATATCGGTAGTCTATACAGAGTGGTTGGTAACTGGTGGTACAAGGGGAAAGGGGGTGATTCTATGCGAAAAAAGAAGTCGAAAATACGGAATAAAAATTTTTCGTTCGAGGCTTTGTTTTCGAGAAAATCGACTTTGAATTTTCGCTCGGTACGCGTGCATTGTATCACGTCTCGTTATAACGGACCTCACTGTAGATCGTTGTCTCGATGGAAAAATTAAAAGAAAAATTTTTTAAAACTTTTATTCTATATTTTCGACTTCTTTTTCGCGTAGAATTACCCCCTTTCACCTTGTACGACCAACTACCAACCACCCTGTATATTAAGGAGATTCCATAGCAATAATTCTAGATGTTTACTTTATAATATTGATACGATCACGTCAGACGTGAATTTCTTATTTTATCGTTAGCAGTAGTTTTATTTGCGTGTTAAAAGCTTTCATGGCAACAATTCTATATTTTTCGATATTTCGTTCTACGTATTTTTCTTTTAATATTATAGCATCAAATATCGTCAGTGTTATCGTCGATACGATAAATATTTGAAAAATGCGCGAGTAGACATATGTTGCGAATACGTTCTTCATCGTAGCATTCGTGTTTCTTCTATTCAGCTAAATAACTGTTTCTTCGTACGTTTGGTATTGTCTCAGGTAGTTCAAATCGGATACTCGGTACAATGGCTAGGAACGGAATTACCCAGATTTGTATTGACGCGTTTATTGCCTTGGGGGTAGTTTCTTTTATTTATTTCTTTATTACTTTGCCAAGCAAGGGAAAGGTACAACGTTGGTTTATAGAAAGTATTACCGAAAATACTGTCGAGAATAAGCCATGACAGATTTTAGTTAAAAGCGCTTTACATGTATATGTCTTTCCTTACACGGCAATATATGGGACTTTTATTGTGCAGCTTCTAAGTATTATACTATACTTATTATACTATACTTTTGGTTATCCGGTCGACCCTTGGTACATTAAGCTTTGAAAATATTTAAATCTGTACACTCAGGTAGTTTTCTTATTGTAAATTAGAAATTAAGATAATTTAAGCCTGCGTTAAATACTTCTATGACTTGGCACTTTGACGAACAAGAATTACTGTTTCTCGATAGTTAAATATTTCTTAACACGTGTTCTCCTTAGACTTGATTTTAATTTCGCTTTCAAACTTTCAGTTCTTGTACGTCGTACAGATTGTAAATATCTACGTATTTTAATCACCGTTCTGCAATTTGCCGTTCTAACGAATGTTAAAGTATAAATGAATTTTATGCTACCAAACTATCTTCCACGGTTAAATTAGTATTTCAAGATTACTTTCTCTTACGCTTGCTTTCAACATCTTGCTACAATTTCACTTCGAAGAAAATCTACTAGTCATTGATCAAGCCATCTTACTATTCTTTCTTCTATAACAAACCGTTTTTCTCTCTTGCGATCTCAAACCTTCTTTTCAATGTCAATCTCGCTTTCGAACTTTCGATTCGTAACACGGAACGCGTCGATCGATCGGTCGTGTCTCATCGATTAAACGTACGATTACGATAACGATGACCGTATTACATCCGTGCATCCGGATGTCGAGCGTTCGATTTCTCACTGGGGTATCCGGTCGTTTCTGGCTGATACCGAAGGATCTCCGAGAAAACGCTCCGAGAAACGCTTACGTTGAACGGACGACACGTGAAAAACACGATAGGTTGATACGAGTTTCGATGTCGAGCAAAGGGAAACTTCCTTCTCCAAACGTACGAAACGTTCGATTTTTGGGAAATGTTGCGTTAATCATAGGAGTACGATTAAAATGAGAATCGTTTAGGTAAACGGGAACGCGTTATTAGTAAGCTGTGAATATTCGTGCAAATTCTTTTTCTTAGAGATAGAGATAAAGAAATTGGAACTCGAATAAAAGGGGATAGCGATATGTTCTTTGTTTCCGATGTTTTACATATTTTTCCATCTTTTCGCATTTTTGCATATTGACGGTTTTCGTAACTGTATAAATATCTAATTATTAGCGAGTATCTCGGAGAAATTTAAATACCGCGAAAGTGTATGAAATATTCGAAATAAAGTATACGTTGTGATATCTGGCTAGTTGTTTGTATTAAATAGAGAAGAAAAATTGAGTGTACTGCTATATAGAAATCGATACGAGGGAAAATTAGATATGTATATTATTAGCATCGAAAAGGGAGAGGATATTAAATGTAAAAATAAAAATTTATCCAATAATTAAAAATCCAACGAATGATAATTTAGCATACGTATGAAAATATGAAGAAATTATAGTTTGATATATTTGAGATAATGCTTGTTTTTTTTTATAGATAGACTCGTCTTCTCGTTCGTGGATAATTAGAATAGAATTAGCGATAATTTTGACAGGATTTAGCTTAGCGCGTTAAGGAAGTACATTTTTATTTTTTCCAGTTACGCGTCGTTTTCGCGATTGATCAACGATATATCATATCGTGCCTCGCACTTCGACCTTTGCGGCAAGCTATTCAGCACGAATTTCGGTATATTCGATAAGCGCGAAATCGTAGCGACACTCGGTATGACGTATTGAAAATAATTTTATCTTAGATAAAGCGCATTATTCGCCGACCTGGTGCAATCTAGTCGCGTGTCTATCTCGACCATCACTCGTGCGTTATATATAGAATTGATCCGAAGATGGATTGTTCCGTTGGAATTCGATTATTCTTACGAGAGCTTCTTCCACGAGAAAAAATACTTGGAAATAAAAAGAAAAGTTGCTATTCTTTCGACAAAGATTATTCGTCGTACGTAGCATAGTATATATATATATATATATATATATATGTATAGTATATATATATATATATATATATATAAATTTTTTTACAAATAAAATTTGTTATTGCAAACTCGTATACTTTTTCGTCTAACGTTGTTTTCATAAAAATGCACTCTGACCGTTTCTCCTCGGTGAAATTGTTTAATCAAAAATTAAAGAAAAAGGTCGCTGCAAGTAAAATTTGTAAGAAAAGGAAACAGTTACCTACTTACCTGAAGACTTTTATTTTATTTTATTTCTTTATGAAGGGCCGTTAGTGCTAAATCCTGTTTCATTGCAGACGGTCCTAGGATTTCGATCTTAAAATTCGAATTGTCACCTTGCTTAAAGGTGAAACAATGTAGTAATTTGCTTCTATACCTGGGACCCTGAACCCTCGAAACTATCCATCTTCGGTATTCTGTGGTAGCAATTTGTCATGGGTAAAGGATAATAGGCAAACAAAGTTGTAACTGTACTTCATTTACCTCGCAGGTATACCTACTCACAATAGAATCATAGCAACGACTGAACCTCTTGGGGAGCATAGGATTCAGTCTTCGACAGACAGCAGACCGAGCAGGTTGTTCGAGCGGTCTCTCCTCGCATCTAGGAATCGTTGGAACTTTGCTTCCAAGTTCATTTAGAAGGCATTCGAGCTTGTACGTTCGTTCGAGGAGAGAAGAAGGATAAAGATTCGAACTTTCGTTCGATCAGCGACGCATAGTATTACGCTGAATCTACGATTCAGTGGCAAGAAGAATCTGGACAAGAAGAAATCCATCGAAGCGGATCATGCAACGACTTCTTTGCTGACCCGTTCCTGGTTGTGTGTTCTCGTGTTTGCTTCGCGCAGTGATCACGCGTGCAGTACGAGTGTAAAATTGTGTCAAGTTGCGTGAAAAAGTGTGAAAAGTTATGTCGGGAACTTGTGATCCATCGACGAACGTCATGAAGAACCCGGTGCACGAAAGTGGATTTTTCGAGGACGGAAGCGACATAGAGATGATCGTCGAGGAGGAGACGATTGATGTCGGAGAGGAGGTAGTATATATATATATATATATATATATATATGTATAGTATATATATATATATATATATATATAAATTTTTTTACAAATAAAATTTGTTATTGCAAACTCGTATACTTTTTCGTCTAACGTTGTTTTCATAAAAATGCACTCTGACCGTTTCTCCTCGGTGAAATTGTTTAATCAAAAATTAAAGAAAAAGGTCGCTGCAAGTAAAATTTGTAAGAAAAGGAAACAGTTACCTACTTACCTGAAGACTTTTATTTTATTTTATTTCTTTATGAAGGGCCGTTAGTGCTAAATCCTGTTTCATTGCAGACGGTCCTAGGATTTCGATCTTAAAATTCGAATTGTCACCTTGCTTAAAGGTGAAACAATGTAGTAATTTGCTTCTATACCTGGGACCCTGAACCCTCGAAACTATCCATCTTCGGTATTCTGTGGTAGCAATTTGTCATGGGTAAAGGATAATAGGCAAACAAAGTTGTAACTGTACTTCATTTACCTCGCAGGTATACCTACTCACAATAGAATCATAGCAACGACTGAACCTCTTGGGGAGCATAGGATTCAGTCTTCGACAGACAGCAGACCGAGCAGGTTGTTCGAGCGGTCTCTCCTCGCATCTAGGAATCGTTGGAACTTTGCTTCCAAGTTCATTTAGAAGGCATTCGAGCTTGTACGTTCGTTCGAGGAGAGAAGAAGGATAAAGATTCGAACTTTCGTTCGATCAGCGACGCATAGTATTACGCTGAATCTACGATTCAGTGGCAAGAAGAATCTGGACAAGAAGAAATCCATCGAAGCGGATCATGCAACGACTTCTTTGCTGACCCGTTCCTGGTTGTGTGTTCTCGTGTTTGCTTCGCGCAGTGATCACGCGTGCAGTACGAGTGTAAAATTGTGTCAAGTTGCGTGAAAAAGTGTGAAAAGTTATGTCGGGAACTTGTGATCCATCGACGAACGTCATGAAGAACCCGGTGCACGAAAGTGGATTTTTCGAGGACGGAAGCGACATAGAGATGATCGTCGAGGAGGAGACGATTGATGTCGGAGAGGAGGTTGTCATCGAGCAATGCACGGAGACCTGTTACGGGTTGACCGAAGTCATTGACGAGCTCGACGACAGTGACTTGGATGAGCCGGTTCCTGACGATCACGAGGACAAATCGAACAAAGGTAAGTCGTGATTTTTTTTCCAAAGAAAAGTATATTCGCTAATTTATCGATGGTTTTATCTATTTGATCTGATGTACGATTGATCGTGTATAAGGAGAATAGAGTAAGAAATGACAGTCAACGTATCGACAAGAGATCAGAGTATCGGTCGTTATTATATTCTAGAAAAGATTCTTTACGTTGAAATCGAATATTTTTTGAGCGTATCTTTTAACCTAGTTTGACTAAGATAAATGGAATAACACCATCGAAATATAGGACAATTTTTTACGCTAGAATTATCAATGTTTCATGCGTTTCTTTTAACGTAGTATTATAAAAATAAATGGATACACCGATACAGACAACGAAAGAGGTTCGATTTAATTCAACTCACGAGTTCCTCATTATTATCTAAGATAAAAATTTGAAAGTTGCTCTATGCTTGTAGCGTTTCGAAGCGTAAGAAATACAGGGGGGTTGGTAGCTGGTGGTACAAGGGATATACAGGGTGGTGGTACAAACGGAAAGGGGGCGATTCTACGCGAAAAAAGAAGTCGAAAATATAGAATAAAAATTTTTTTGTTAATTTTTTTTTTAATTTTTCCATCGGGACAACGATTTACAGTGAGATCCGTTATAACGAGACGTGATACAATGCACGCTTGAAAAATTGTTATTCTATATTTTCGACTTCTTTTTTCGCGTAGAATCGCCCCCTTTCCGTTTGTACCACCACCCTGTATATCTTCGAATTCTGTATTGTAAAGAAGAAATCAAATTTTTTCTAATACGGCTAGATGACTTTATACGGTCAGCGTGGCGTATAATCGTGTTTCGATCTCAGCGAACGTTTATACATAGTCACGCAGTTGTCGATAATTTGCTTGCTGCGACATTTAGGTAATCCAGCTTCTTGTTATTCGAGAAACGTCGACGCAAACTTTCGCTCTCTTTTCTCATCCCCATAGCGGTTCGTTGAATTAAGTAAAGCTATAAACGCGTACCCTTGCTGCCATAAACGCATGACCGCGGAAGAAATAACGCTACCCAAGAAGCAAATCTATTCTTGGTCAGAAATGTTAGCAAAACGATCGTCGGTCTGTGCTATTCTTATCACTTGCGAGTATTATTAACGACTCGCGAAGCGATCTTCGAAATTATCCGCGAACGAATCTCTTAAAGATCGAAAGTCGTTCCATCGATAGGCTCATTCGCGTCCGAAAGGCTGTCTTTCTTTACTCTGATAACGATCCTGGTAAATAAACTCAGCGTATGGTGTTCGCATTAGGTAGACCCAATTAGTCGCTAGACCGATGGTGTACAGTTAGTGGAATCGATGTACGACGAGGTCGTACGATTTGCCAAGCGTTCAAGTCTCTGAGCTTTCGGTGCTTGAAATAGTAATTTCGGAAATGTAACATAAAATGTTTGTATATCGTGATCGTAAAGCGAGATAGTAGTTAGGAAAAGAATAAGGCGTTTTGTATTTTTCAATCGCTGTGATTATTTCGCGTTGATTAAACGAATCGAGACTCAATTATGCTAAATATCTCGGACGCAATTGCAGGAAAAAGTTGTTGTAATTACAGAGAAATGTAGAATAATTAATTCGAAGCAAAACCTACGCTAAAATATAATATATTTTTACTTTGGGATAAAATAAACATTCTAACGCTGGTTTAAATTATTACAAATCGTATAATAGTTGTTTGATACATTTTTTCCATTGTTGTTGGAAAAGAGACGAGTTCAGGATTGTACGATGTCGATCGTTATGAAGAATAGAAAATAGAAAAAAAGAAAGTGGAATGTAATATATCTTAGTAAAATGAAATCATGTTATCGAGAAATGTTAATTTACAAATGACATTTACATCTCGAGATTCAAGAAGACGTTTCTACAAGACGCTATACAAGTGGCTGTATAAATCAGCGTTACCACTTAATATTTTAATTTACGGCCTCGTTAGATCGTTTTCTCGAACTGTACTTTTAGGTTGGGGCGAGTTCTGAATGTCCCGTTGAACGCGTCATAGAGCTTCGTTCCAAAGGTTGTGTCGCATTTTCGTGAGCATCGTGCTATCTCACAGAGACAGTGAGTCACGCTGTAAGCGTGTATAACGTCACGTTTAACCCTCTTCTAGTACCTAGAAAGTAAAACGATCACGTGTGGGCACCGTTACGATTTTTACGAGTGTCTACTCGTAAAAGAGGAATTATCAATGATCCTCGATGATTCATCTTCTAGTCACTTAGCTTTTGCTTCTCTTAATTTTAGACGATGTTTCGTTTATCCGTCTCTTCGCAATAGGAATTTTCCTTATTTATTTCTCTGTAACAGTAGGACGATAAGTATTAATTTTTTATTAGTAAAAACGCGACAGCGCGAAGATGAAAGAAATTGCCGAATTTGATCGCGGGCCAAACGCTTCTATTATTGCAACTGTTCAAAGACAGAATCCACTATATCGCGTAACGCTCGTTCCAACTGCGATCGTACTTGAAATTAGTTGCAACAAAGCTAACTGAGTGCACTCGAAACGCTATTATCCGAAATGTTATCTGATCGCGGCGACGAAATAAAAAAACAACAACGATTCGTTGTTATTCGGATTTTTGTAAATCAATTTACAATCGAACATTCTACGATCGCGTCGACGCATATTCGCTCGATCAACTACATTCGTCTCTCAAATTATAGATCGTTATTTTATATAAAACGAATTATAAATTTAATTGCCATAAATACTAATCGAGTCGAACAAGTTAACGATTTAATAGCGCGAGTAATAGAGTAAAAGTATAGTTACGCAAGAACGAGTTAAACGACGATCTTTCGTGAATTTTAAACGTACGTGAACGTTATATCGAAGATGAATATCTTAAGCTCTCTTAAACCTCCCGCGATACTCGAACACCTGTTACAACTCCTCAACACCATGTTCCAAGCATTCTGGAACGTCCGAAGGGCGTAGCAAAAATGCTTTGGTACAGTTGCACGCCGTAGACACCTCAAATTACCCCGTAAAGAATATTCCCAGCTAAAACCGGACCTCGAAAAAATACATACCCCTAAGCGAATTCAATACTCCGATTTCGAACAAGTTGACGAGACATACGTTTAACGTACAGAATTTTCGAGATATCGAATACCTCGGAGAGTAAATATATGGCCAAGGAACGATATCATACCGCAACTGACGTGTACTTTTCCTTGACTGACGCGAGCAAAGATTTCAGAAGTTTAACTCGTCGATTAAAATATATTTTCGAAAGAAATTTTGCGGTTATTTTATACAGAGTGGTTGGTAACTGGCGAAATATGATTTATCGTATCAATTTCAATATACCGATATAGAGGATATATCTCGTAAGATTTTTTTTTTATTTAATTTGTACTTTACAATTTGTCCAGCTGGACATTCGGTAAATTTTATCCTGTGAGAATGACCAGTATTTTTCAAGCATTTCCGATAATTTCACAAAGAAGTGTTTTAAATAAAAGTTAATCAATTTTTGGTTTACTACACATTTGGATATTAAAAATTTCTGACAAATTATTGTTTAATAAAAGGTCAATGTGACCTTGACTTTTTTAAGTGGCATCATATACAATATTATACAGGGTGGTTGGTAACTGGTGGTACGAGTGGAAAGGGGCTGATTCTACGAGAAAAAGAAGTCGAAAATATAGAATAAAAATTTTTCTTTCGAAGCTTTGTTTTCGAGAAAATCGACTTTGAATTTTCGCTCGGTACGCGTGCACTTTATCGCGTTTCGCTATAACGGATCTCACTGTAGATCGTTGTCTCGATGGAAAAATTAAAAAAAAAATTAAAAAATTCGTTTATTCTATATTTTCGACTTCTTTTTTCGCGTAAAGTTTATTTATAAATTATGTACACGCTAAATCGGCTAGATTTGAAATCAATTGAATCGTATTATGTTTAAGATTAGGTTTGGTTGGAAAATAAAGAAAATTACTAATTATACCATTGGCGTAAAAGAAGTTTCGGAAATAATTTCCTTATGGCTGAGAGAGTTCTATCGGATGGATGTGGGTATTAGGCTCGGGTGAAGTTTTGTTTTAAATTTAATTTTTCTTCGGGTCGAAAGTAACCTATTTCGGCGCAATAAAGAACCTAAGAATAAACTTTCTTACGGTGAGAAAAGTCAAGATGGCGCCTTTAGTATCTTAGTCGAGTGAACCGATTAGAAGGCGATGGTGCAATTTATCCTGCTTGTCACCCTCTCGTAATTGCAAGCTCGGGAGCAGAGCGCTCTATTCTTTGAGATATACTCGTATAGCTTGGGATACTCGTGGGACCGTGGTTCCAACGCAATAACAATAATTGAGTCTTCGAATTATCGGGTCGCTCGGAACCGTTCCTAGCGAAATTTGAGAAAAATTTCGAGCCAACGTATTTTTATAAAATTTTCATAGAATCGAGTAATCTTTGCAAATATTACGTTTGTTGTTGAATTTTTCCCACTCGTTGACAAAATCGTTGTCGTTGTTTCATTGTTTGGTTAAAGCTCGATAATCTTCTTCCCATGTAACCGACTATGGTCGTTTAATTATTAATTGGTAGATTAAAATCGACGCGTCTCTCTCTTAGTCTTCATCGAAATCTTAATCTTCTGTTTTACAAACACGGTTTCTCACCAACCAGAAAAGCTAATATTCGTTGCGAAAGATTCGTGGCTAAAGGCGAAGAGCGAAACGCACAGTGAACTTCTATCCCGACCGCTCGAAGAAATTCGACGGCAGACACTCTTAACCGCATGATGCGGTTTTCCGCCCTATCTCGTCCATGTGTGTACGTTCATCTTCCGTTTTTTCTTTTTCTCCCTTCGCCTCTTTCGCGTTTCTTTTTCCTCTGTCGTTTTGCCTTCTTTTTCTCGCGGTTTGCACGCGTACACACTGGACATCGATCCGGCTAACGCGTGACCGGCGCACGTACTTACACACTTTCTCATCCGCATTCTTCCCCGAACGGTTTTGCTCCGGTGAAAGA